TACCTTTACTGAATTAAAATACTACTGCACAGTATTTTCCTGTCTTAGGAGGTTCGCAGGAACAATTTTTTTTTGTTCTCGTTGTTGAAGATACGTCCAAAATATAAAAACAAAATGGCTGTTATGTAGATAATGAGTCATAATCATCCCATTTATTCTTCAATGGAAACACAGAGACACAGAAAAAGACCATTCCCTACTTCCCTTTCAATGTTTCAAGGGCATCAGCAAAGAGGGGAGTTAAAAAAAATTAAGGAGGGACTACAATCATATGATCAGAGCTGCCACCTTCCTTTGTTTGACCCCCTCCATAGACTGCCAACACTTTTCTTTCACCATTATATTAAACTGTTACACATAATTTTTTCCTATTATTTCAGGATACCTTGCAACCTTCTCTCCGTATGCAAAAGAACAGTATTTTCTTATTTTAAAAATATGTGAGTTGTTGGCAAAGTAGAAGCACTTAGAAATATAACAGTGACTTTTAACCAAAATGCCTTTATTTTCTGATACGGTATTATATATGAGTTCTATGGTGCCAGAGATATTTTGTAAGAAAATGACAGGGGATTAATTCTTCACTTTGAAACTCTTTTGGTCATTAAAATACGCATTTATTTAAAATAAGTATATTTCATCTATCCTTATATCATTCTTGACTACTGCTACTCAGTCATTCTAACCTGTCACACATCAGTGAGACAGATGACCATTACACTAAAACATTGTAGCTAATCTTTTGGAGTCAATTAAACTGCAATTTAAAACATTATACATTCAAATAATTGCATCATGTAAGCAAATGAGAAATAAGGCATTGAGAGCAACTAAGCACTAACGCACATTGTTTCCATAAATTATTTTCATTCTCCAGCCCATATACACTACAATATATATTTGATAGATTTAATTAAAATTAGGCAAGGGGGATTCAAGTAGTTCATAAATACTTGCTTCTTCACTATAGCTTATCATACACTGCTGTTGATATTGATGGGACTTTTAACATTTCTACAATTGTATGTTTATAAAAAAAAGATTTCATTCAAAAGCAAAACAGGCCAATTTCGTTCACCATAAAGGCATGATGAGTGTGCAGCTTTATGATGAAAACATGGTGCTCAAGTAGCCAGATACATAATCAGACTATAGCAATATATTTTGTCGCTGCTAGTATTATTTGCTTTTTAGTTTGCTTCTGAGCACACCTAAGATTTCACTGTGTCATGTCAGCGTAGCAGCCACTAGTACAATAAGGCCATTACTGACCTTTCAGATGAAACAATCCTGCAATTAAGAATGATACACTATTGGGTGCCATTCATTCAGCTCTAGATCTTCAGTCTAATATTTTACACAAAATTCCATCTTTAATAAATCATTTACTACCAATCACATTTTGCTAATTATTTCAAAATACTGTAATCTTACATTATTTATATGTTAATTTTTTTTATCTTACAGGAACAAGGCAGCATATCATTGTAGTATTTTCAACAAATACTGACTGAATATTCGGTAGATGAAGCTACCATAATTATAGACCATAATACTCATTTAAGATTAGGATGACACAAAGCAAAGAACATATTGTTCATCCTAGTATATACTTGGTCCTGAAAAGAAAAGCTTAAAAATTAAGAACCACATGTGAATCCAAACTCAAACATGAATTAATTATGTTTTTCAGATGCAAAGATCATCAGATAAACATAACTGATAGCCTTTTCCTCACAAGGTGCATGTCAAAGTAAACAGACAGTCCACTTTAGAAAGTGTCTAGTGAATTGATTTAACAAGTTTAATGTGAGCATCAGTGTGTGGGGCTATTACTGATCGTAAGCTTTACTGATGTTATTTGTTCGCTTGGAAAAATACCGCTCTTTGGAATGAGCACATTAAGGCTAAAATTGCAGAGAAAACCCTATTACAACTTTATTGCTGGCAAATTGGAACCAAACCTTGTCTGTATATCAATTACTTAGAGTTACCACAGAGATAAATCCTTTTTTTTTTTGTGCAGACTCAATCTTGAAGACAGTGATGAGAAGCTCCTTATTATACCCTACCAACATCACTAGGTTTTCTTAGCAATTTCAAGAAATTGTCAATTAAGTTCTTTTTATTAGGTTCCAAAAGCTGTTAAGTCAAACACAGATCTATCATAAGACTTGCAACAGCGTGTTATTTAGGCAAATTTCTGTTTCACTTTTTCATTAGCTACCTTCCCAGACCCTAATCAAAAGTTACTATAAAGTGAAAACATTTCCAGACTGAAGTTTGTGGCTTCATTAAATTATATTATAATACACACACACACACACACACACACACACACACAAACACTATTACTTCAAATTAATGCAAACTATAATTTAGAAAGTAAATAAAACAATGGAGGCAATTTTGTCTTTTAACAGATATGACACTTGAATAGCCTTTACACTGCTATAAAACTCTAATAACAGAAATTAGGAAATAGCTTTATTAATGTAGCAGAAAGCATGTAGGTATTGTTCCTTGCTATTATTTCATTGCAGCAAAAGATTAAGGTATCAAAAGAGATTACAGCTTTAGAGCATCAAGAGCTCCAAGATTATGAAGGGAGTTTTTTTAATCTCCCTGCACTCTGAAGGCAAAAAACATTGTAGGAAGAATGCTGATTGCACCTTCCAAAAACGAATGAATCTCTTCATTAGCCCATGAAGGAAGCACACAATAGAAAGTCATGCAGCTTCAGTACCATGACATCAATTTACTTGAACTCATAAACCAACTAAAAACATCTGAGGAAGAAAAAAATGAAAACCAGAAGCTGTAATAGTTAACAGGATGGCTGAGTTCCTATTAAACTATTATAGGACGATATAGAGCACTGTACACCAAGACAACTAGATACAAGAACAGTTTTTTCCCAAATGCCATCACTCTGCTAACCAAATAATTCCCTCAAATTATCAAACTATTCACTAGGGCTGCATTACTATTGCTATTGGTCTTCTCATCATTCCTGTCACCCATCTCCTCCCACTTGTGACTGCATGATTGTAACTTGTTGCTTATATCCTTGCGATTTATATTGATATTGATTGTTTCCTAGATGATTTAATTGCTTATTGTACCATATGACTGTCACTGGGTGTTGTGCCGTGTGATTCTTGACAAGTGTATCTTGTCTTTTTATGTACACTGAGAGCATATACACACACTTCCTTGTGTGTCCAATCACACTTGCCCAATAAAGAATATTATTCTATTCTATTCTATTCTATTCTATTCTATTCTATTCTATTCTATTCTATTCTATTCTATTCTATTCTATTCTATTCCTAGTCCTAGTCCTAGTCCTAGTCCTAGTCCTAGTCCTAGTCCTAGTCCTAGTCCTAGTCCTAGTCTATTCTAGGATTGTTATATCAGTCTTATAGGATTTCAGTCTCTTTGTAATATCCCTATATTTTTTGCTCTAAAAGAATACAGCAATCCACAAATTCTCATAATCTTTAGTGTCAAGATGCCTTGCCCAATAAGATTTTATTATTTTTTGTATGTTTTTTGGGTTTATTTATCTATTTTGGTAAAGAAAAGAAAAGAAAAGCTGGCATACTGAGGAATTCTGGGAGTTGAAGTCCATACATCTTAAAATGGGTAAAGTTGAGAAAAGCTGAACTCGATGACAAGAGTACTAGAGAGTGTGGTGAAGAGTAACAACACTGCATTGCCTTCTAGTGAATTGATGTTCATTGAATGACCATATCCAACACACCTGCCAATTTTTTAGTCTCCTGAAACAGGCAGCTTGCTTTATACCTCCCAATACAAAGAGATCATCCTCAACTACTTATTGACAGTAGATATGTCAGTCCTATGGGGAAAACTGGACCAAGAGACTCCATAGAAGACTAAAAAACTACTCTTACTTCCATAGGCTATAGAGGTAGTCCTCAACTTAAGACCACAAGTGAGCCCCAAATATCTGTTGTTAAGCAAGACAGTTGTTAAGTGAATTTTGGCCGGTTTTAAGGCCTTTCTTGCTGCAGTTGTTAAGTAAATAATTACAGTTGTTAAGTTAGTAACACGGTTGTTAAGTGAATCTGGCTTCCCCATTGACTTTGCTTGTCAGAAGGTCACAAACGGGGATGGACACTGCAACCATCATAAATATGAGTCAGTTGCCAAGCATCTGAATTTTGATCACATGACCATGGAGATGCTGCAATGGTTGTAAGTGTGAAAAACAGCCATAAATCATTTTATTCAGTGCCGTTATAACTTTGAATAGTCACTAAATTAATGGTTGTAAATTGAGGACTACTTGTACTACAATAAACTTACATGTCTGATTATGCTACTCTTCCTAACTTTTTTATGTACATGTGAATTAGGGAGGTGTCTAAGATGTTTTATAATCCTCATTCATCATCTGGATTCCCAGATTTCTTCCAGATGCAATTCAAGTTTATCCTGTTTAAAGCCCTATGCAACAGGAGATCTGGTTATTTGCAGAACTGCCTTCCCAAAGAATATCTGCCCATCCCACTAGATCTGATAGGATGGACATGCTCCAGGTCTCCTTCCTAAAATTTTACCATTTAGCAGGACCCCAGAAGCATGTCTATTTTGTGATGGCCTTTACCTTGTGAAACAACATCCCAACTATGATCCAACTAGTCTTTCAGAAGGCTGTCAAGACCTGGCTATTATTTAGGCACTGAGATTGTATGGAAAAAAGGCACAGAAAGAGGATAGGTGAGCCTGCTCTGGAGCATCCCAAGAATTATTATAGTGCAGGGTTGTTTATTGTTTTTATGATTATTATATATATTTCCTTTATGGTTGTTGTGAACTGCACAGAATTACTTAAGATAAAAATCTTTAAAATAAATACATAAATAATTGCATTAATAAAATAAACAATGTTTTTGTTTTCATTTGTTTGGTAACAGGTCTTCCCTTTCTTCATCAAGGTCATTATTTTTACTCTCTTTAAAATCTCTTACCTGAAATAGCTCTTTCTTGCTAGTTGTCAGGCATGGATATGGGTCATATTTTATTATACCATAATTTTTAAAGGGATATACGTGGCACCTTGATTTCCCTTCTCCTAAAATGTCTACTAGATAACCAATCTTATATAATGGTTACACCAAGGTAGAAACCAGGAAACAATAGTTCAAATCCGCCCTCGGCAGATAAATTAGGCCAGTTCTGTCAAACTGGCAGCCTGCGGGCCGGATAGATGGCAGGCCACTCCCACCCCAGCTCTGCAAAGGCAAAAAATTACATCACAATCTGGCCCATGATGTGATAGAGTTTGACACCTGTGATCTAGGCCAATAACCAAATTTTGTTCAGCTGCTCTGAAAATCTACTCTCAGCTGACAACTTGCATATTGAGATTCTTAGTAAATCTACAAGACCCTTTAGACTGTCAATTGCCCAATTTCCAATTTCTTTGTAACAATTGCATATAACTTTGCTCATTTTGATATATAAACATATATAAAGTGAATTTTATTTTACTATTTTATGACAGTACTGACAATAATTTGATTTGAATCAGATTATACATTTTAGACAGTTTATACAGTCCTTACATGTTTAGTTAGACAGTATGCTGCATATTTGATTTGTTAGATTGTTTGTCTATTGTTTTTGTATTCAATTGAACAGCAACAATAACAACCAGCACAATGATGATGATGATATTTGATGGTTTAATGCAGTGGTGAAATTCAAGTTTTTTTACTACTGGTTCTGTGGGCATGGCTTGGTGGGTGTGGCAGGTGAAGGATACTGCAAAATCTCCATTCCCACCCCACTCCAGGGGAAGGATACTGCAAAATCTCCATTCACACCCCCTCCAGGGGAAGGATACTGCAAAATCCCCATTCACACCCCACTCTGGGGCCAGCCAGAGGTGGTATTTGCCGCTTCTCCGAACTACTCAAAATTTCCGCTACCGGTTCTCCAGAACCTGTCAAAACCTGCTGGATTTCACTCTGGTTTAATGGTATTGTCTCAGGATGTAAACTGTCCCATGTAAAGCTGCTTCTTGCAATTGACTGATATTGACAAAATCACCATCAGTTAATTGAAAAAGGCAGCTTTACTTGGAAGAGTTTATATTTGGCAATGATACATTTATCACCATCAAACAAATACCAAATCCAGGCTAATGGTTGTTGTGTTGTCAGAAAGTCCAGTTGCCTCTTGAAAAAGCACCTTTGGCAAGACATACATCTAATAATAAAACAAATTATAAAGTGTCTCCATAGACATATATGGCCTTATGTGTAACAACTCAGGATGGCATTACCCTAGCCTAATTTACATTGGATGACAGTGGGATTAGCATTTTGTCTAAAATGTGACATTCTTTTAATTGGTTTTCTAAGACTAACTCTTTTATTTATTGTATATCAAATTTATATTTTACGAATATCTTAGAGTGTCATTCTTAATTTCTTGTTTTATTGTACTTTCATAGGATTCGTGACTGGGATATTTTCATTTATACTTAATGTATTTATTGGAGTTTTTTCCTCCAAATTGTGTTGCACTGTGATTTTGTAAACACAGATGCTAATCCATGCTAAATATACAGGCTTCTAAGATTTTATGCTGGCATTCCATCTATTGTATTTGGACACAGGCTCTTAACATATAAAGAAAAGAAAGGTCAAATCTATCATTGTAGAGGTGAAAACTAATCATGGTGACAAAATAAGGTTTTATTTATTACCCTTAATACAAGAAATCTTTACTGTGGAATATGACTGTACTGTCACTACACACCAGAGATTTTTAATCCCCAATCATTTTGACTTATTTTACAGTTCATTACCTTTTCAGTTAGATATTGCAACAAAGACTCTCCTGAGTTTAAACAAGAGCTTTTAAAGCTGCTATTTTTGTATTAATTTTTCTGCAGTGAAACAATAGTAAAGTTGTATATACATACATACCTGCATACACACACGTGTGTGTGTGTGTATATATATATATATATATATATATATATATATATATATATATATATATATATATATATATATATATATTATACATATGTAGAGATAAACAGACACCCACCCACCCCACACATATATGTATAATGTCCTTTAGAAAAATTAGAAAGTTAAAATAATAATTTGATAAAATAATTTTAACAAGTTCTAATAATATACAGCAACCAGTGCCATTTCTATTTGTATTCACAGGTTCAAGAACCGTAGTATTAAGACTCTGTTAAACAGAAATAGAGAGAGGAAGGACAGCTTTCAAGCAAATACAAAGCCATGTGTATAACACCCCCCTCAGAAAATATGACCTGTTATGATTCTCATAAGTTATAATAAGTGTCATTGTGAAAAGGTAAGCAATTGTATCATTGTGAATTTTGCCCTGTAAAAAATCCATCATTTATGGACATATTTCATGCATTAGTGCTCCAGGGTCTTCTCTGTACTGAGAGAATGCAGAGTTCATAAGCAAAATAAAAACGATACTCTCAGTGCTGACTGAATCAATGGATCAGGGTATAGAAATATAATGGTATACATTCATTCTTGCTTTAAGGTAGCTTTTTTAAAACATGAAAAGTTACATGATGAAATGATCGTAAAACAGATAATAACAAAATAAATTTAAGCTACACTGAAGTTTTATCACTTTGGGACAAACATAAATTGAATCCAAGCTTACCTCTTATACCTAATGCAATCACTGAAGTCAAGGAGACTTGTGGTAGCCCTGACTACATTAAATATAGATCCAGTCACATTATGTTGAAACCTTCCTTCCAAATAATAAATAGGTAACTCTCTTATTCTAGATTAATCAATAAAAGTATAAATATATGAAAGAGCCCTAACGGACTAATATTTTTCAAAACTGATAAACATGCTTCCGCAAATGCATACAAAATTTAACCAAAAAAAGTATACATTAAAAAAGAAAGGTATGTTGAAATGTATACAAATATTTTTGTTTCTTCTTCTGAACATTTATACAATCAATTAGAATTTGTGGTCAGTAAGAGAAGGCAAAAATGGACTTGAAAGAATCTTCTATTTTGTCTAGGGTGATAATTGTTCAGTTGCTAAGTCGTGTCCAACTCTTCAAGATCCCATAACCAGAACACGCCAGGGTCCCATCTTCCACTGTTTCCTGGATTTGCCCAAATTCATGTTCATTCTGTCGATGACATTATCTAAACATCTCATCATCTGCCATCCCCTTCTCCTTTGCTTCAATCTTTCCCAACATCAGGGTCTTTTCCAATGAATCCTATCTTCTCATTTAGTAGCCGAAGTATTTGAGCTTCAGTTTCAGTATCTGTTCTTCCAAAGAACAGTCAGGGTTGATTTCCTTTAGGATTGACTGATTTGATTTCCTTGCACTCCAAGGGACTCTCAAGAGTCTTCTCCAGCACCGCAATCTGAAAGCAACAATTCTTCAGCCTTCCTTATGGTTCAACTCTCATAGCCATATATTACCATGGGAAAATCATAGCTTATGACTATAAAAGCTCAGGCTGGCCAAGGAGCTGCTGATACAGTTGTACAAATTATTGAGTCTGTCATCTGCACCTCTATAGCTGTCTGGTTTGGCACTGCAACCAATCAAGACAACACAGACTTCAAAAGATAATTAGAACTGCAGAAAAAACAATTGCTACCAACCTGCCTTCCACTGAAGACCTATATACTGCACGAGTCAAAAAGAGGGCTGTGAAAATATCTAAGACATCCTGGACATAAATTGTTTCAACTTGTACCCTCAAAATGAAGCTATAGGGCACTGCACGTCAGAATAACTAGACACAAGGACAGTTTTTTCCCCCCATGCCATCATTCTGCTAACCAACTAAGTCCCACAACACTGTCAAACTATTTAAAAAAGCAGTATTAGCATCATTATTCTCATCTTCCCTATTCCCTATCTTCTTATCTTATGACTATAACTTTGTTGCTTATCATTATTGTTGTATGTACATTGAGAGCTTACACACTGGAAACAAATTCCTTGTGCGTCTAATCACACTTGGCCAATAAAGAATTCTATTCTATCATATACAGACCTTTGTCAGCAAGGTGATGTTTCTGTTTTTTATTATGCTGTCTAGGTTGCCATAGCTTTTCTCACAAGACGCAAGAGTCTTTTAATTTCATGGCTGCAGTCATTGTATTTAGTGATCTTGGTGCTTCCATTTCATCCCCTTTTATTTGCCAGGAAATGATAGGACCGGTTGCCATAATCTTAGTTTTTTAATGCTGAGTTTCAGGCCAACTTTTTCACTCTCCTCTTTCACCCTTATTAAGAAGCTGTTTAGTTCCTCTTCACTTTCTGCCATTAGAGTGGTATTGTCTGCATATTTGAAATTGTTGATATGGAAGTGATAACAGTGTTACCTAACCCAATTAGATAATATGCTAGTTATATGTTACCTAATTCAATTGGATAACACATAGAGCCAGTTTGATCTAGTAGTTAAGGCACCAGGCTAGAAAGCAGGAGTCCATGAGTTTTGGTCCCACCTTGGCCATAAAAGCCAGGTGGGTGAATTTGAGCCAATCTCTCTCTCTCTCTCTCTCTCTCTCTCTCTCTCTCTCTCTCTCTCTCTCTCTCTCTCTCTCTCTCTCTCAGTCCAACTCACCTCTCAACATTGTCATTGTGGGAAAAATAAGAGAGGAAGGTGTATTGGATATGTCTGCCACCTTAAATTGTTTGTAAAAATAAAAAAGGCAGAAAATAAATAAACAAACAAACAAACAGTTCTATACTATAATTTCTTGATAAGGTCCACATCACAGGATAGAACATCTCTGAACACCACTTATATACTTTTTAGGAATAGCAGAAAATAAAATAACTGAAAACCACTAGTAGACAAAATGACGTTGTTCTTTAAGAAAAGAAAATATAGAACGGTATTGATATTGCATTTGATATGTCCTAAAAATTCTAAAATTCTGCTTCAAATCGTAGCTTGAGAGAAGATGAAGCAACTAAGATTTATATACTTCAAGGCACTGTTTAAGATAAATACCTATAGATATATTTTAGTTAGAAATAATAGAATACTTATGTCAATACACTTGTTTAAGAATATTCCTTACATTTAAAAGCAATAGTCTTAAAAGATCCATTAATTTGATTTGACAGAAATTAGAAATAAAACCTGGTAATCAAATTTAAAGAATAGAAAAAATTTAAAAAATGCAATGTTGAGGTGAATAGCC